TCCTATAGCAGTACCTTGCTTATTCTGGATGACTGCATCTTTACTTAGTTCGCTCAGAGTTGGTGGGAAAAGTATATGTACTGGAGGAACATATATGTCTTCTCATGTGATTTGGTCTGTATAGGTCCCAATTCACAGTCTCATCCTTGCCCTTCAGCACTCAAAAAGAGGCAGACATTTGAAACCTCCGAATCCAAGCTGGACAACTGTTCCATTTCAGTTAAAAGGAGCTCTAGGAGAGAAAATACTAGAGCTCCCTCACACCAGTCCCTTGACTACAAACATGGTAGAGCCTCTCAGTTTGCCTGTTAGTAAAGTGCCTGTGTTTGGAGATTTCATAGTTATATGTGAAAACTGTGTCACTGACAGCTTCTGTAAAATAATTTGCAAGTACCAGAGTTTTTGACACAGAGGTCAAGTATCATATATGAACTGTCATGCAAAAAAGTTTAGACTCTCATTGTAACTAATCACACTAATGTTTGCCTATGTTACATCACTAAAGATGAACTATATCACTCTATATCTTGATAACACATGTGGGTTTTCCTCTCTGAACAGCTGGCTGACGACCTGTACTTCAGAAAAAAATAACTTTATTAACAATTGGGGCTGTTGTAAAAAGGGCTATTTTTATAGGCTGCACCTGAATACCTGACTAATAAGAGCACCAATGGGCCACAGCAACATAGTCGAACACTGAAGTCTTTGGAGCGAAACATAAAAATAGAAACCACTAGAAAATAATCCCATTAAAATGACACTAACTATTCAGGTTGAATAAGGGTTCTGATCTGCAAGTCTTTTTGTATCCTGAATTTTATTCAATTAAGAAGCAACCTTTTCTAACCCATTTTATGAACACACATATTACTATTCATGATATTGTAGCATATTTACCTCTGTTATTTTCCTTAGCTGTGTAGGACTGCATCCACAATAATGAACTGCCTCTCAGCTGCCCCTGCACAGTGCTTGCCCTGTTGCCAAAAAAGGAGACTTTTTTAAGAACTAGAGCCCTGTAAGTATTCCTTGTTCAGATTATTAGATCTTGTCCAAGGTTTTGGCTATCTGACTATTGTTCATTCCAATTAGCCCTACTCTATACCGCAGTATATACTGTTTTTCTCATACGTGATCTTATTACTGCTTCTAAGATTTTTAGATAGCAAGTTTTTCCCTTGATCAAGAGAAGGCTTTTGACTGAGTTGATCATACCTATTTATTTAATGATTTTAGGGCTTTTGGGTTTGGCCCCAGTTTTGTGGGAAAAATTCAGTTGCTCTACAGTGTTGTGTTAAGCTCTCCCGTTTCCATCCAGAGGGGTATCCGACAAGGGTCCTCTCTTTCTGGAATGTTGTACGGCCTCTCCATTGAACCCTTTTTGGAATAATTATGATGATGGATCCTTTCCCAATGTTTCTTCTCAATCAGTTAAAGTGGTGGCTTATGCAGATGACATAGCTATGTTTGTCTGCAATAGCCAGGACATTGCAGTCTTAAATCACTGACAGGAATTCTTTGAGAAGGTGTCCCCTGCTAAAGTGAACTGGGGTACTGCCTTTCTCCTAGGGATTGGGAGGGGACTAGACCTCCAGATTTACAGGGGGAAATTCAATGGAGTAAAGAGGGTTTTCTCATTTATCAGTGTTCCTAGGAGCAGATGATGCGGCAATAGAGAACTAGGAGGGTGTAACTCAGAGGTGTCCTCACTTTTGTAGCTAAAGATCTACTTTTGCATTTGGCAAGTCAACAAGATCTACTGATCGGTAATTTTTTCATTCAAATGATAATGCCCTGAAATATTCCAATATATAACATTACAAATAGTTAGGTTATAAATTCCTATAAGCAAGTGTATGTAGTTACTGAATGTATTATTTTTGTGCTATAATAATTATAGTCTATATGAGGCAAAATTTTAATAATTCATTGCACACTTGCTGATAAATAGATGGGGGCCCCTCTTATTCTGATGATTTGCATTGAATGGGGTCAGCCAGTTTAGCATAATCAGGACAGTAGCCACTGGTAGCAAGCCTCAGGCAAGTTTCCAAGTGGTCATCAGACAGAGTTGACTGGTATTTGGTTTTAATGACCTTCATGTTGGAAAATGCTGATTCGCATAAGTAACTCAATCCAAAAAATGCTGTTAAGTAAGCTGTGCATTTTTGCATGTTTGGATACTTTTCCCGGGGATGTAAGTTCCAAAACTACCCAGCAGTAGCGCTGGCCTTCATTTGAATGTCTGATTGGAGTGATAAAATTTCATCCTCGAGCGCTGATGAATCAAGGTGAAACAATGAGGCGATTTTGGCAGCGAGTGCAGCTCAATCAGCTCAAGTACTGCAAAATCTTGGAAGCGTTTGAAGACATGTTGAATTTGCACTGCGTAGCACGCAGTGTCAAACTGTGCAGTTTCTTTTACCTGTTTTTACAGCTCGAATACTGTGTTTGGAAAGTTTACTAGGTCATGACGTTGTGGCTTTGAAGCCAGCAATTCTAATTTTCGTTTGAATGTGTAAACAGTGGTGATCATATTGATCACATTCTTGTCTTTACCTTACAGGTCTAAATTAAGTTTATTGTGTATAGTGTCAATCAGGTTTATTTCGCTTGTTTCAGACAGAAAAGGGTGGGAATAAGTATAAAGCCAGTGTCAGCCCACTAGAATTTACCTTACACTTGAATTAAAACGACCATATATATTTTAAGATTGTGAGGCGATCAACCAAGAGCTGTTTTGCGATCAACCAATCGATCGCGATCGACGTAATGGGCATCCATGGTGTAACGCATAAGGGCAAACTGCAGAACTGGAAATGGTTGTTATCAAAAGTGTTGTACGGAGGCAAGATTCTGAAAAGTCAATCTTTTTTCCTCAATGCTGTTGACTGATGTGTTTCGGTCCTCTACCAGCTATGGTGACAGGGTATTCAAATGCTGCTGATACACTTTTTTGGGATGGGTTGTACCGCATGAAGCAGTGTGTACTGTTCTTGCTTCTTAAGGAAAGTGGGCAAGGTCTCATTGACATTAGCAGGTTCTGAAGGATGGCAGCTTTCCGACTCAAGTGGCCACAGATTTTGTTGTACTCTCCCGGTCCTTTGCTCTGGAGAGATCTCACCTTTTCTTTCTTTTAGAAAGTAGGGGGACAGTGGTTTGACAGACAGCTGATATTGATGAATGTCAATCAGCTGCCTTTATCTTGCATGTCCAGTTTTTATCAAAGTATTTCACTCATATGGCACACATACTGGCTTCTAGGAGCTTTTAATCCACAACTTTGCTCTGAACTGTTCACTGATACTCCTATTTTTATAATAATAATAATAATAATAATAATAATAATAATAATAATAATTGCTTACACTTAAATAGCGCTTTTCTGGACACTCCACTCAAAGCGCTTTACAGGTATAGCATTTTTACTGCTATTTTAAAGGTATAGGGTGTCACAAAAACTGGTCATCTGCTTGAAGCAGACAGAAGGAACTGGAAGAGTGCTGCCACTGTAGCCTGTGAACTGGGGGTCAGATCAGGGCAGTGTGCCAGCTGTTTTATATTACAACTGTAGGCAGCTTTTGGGAATACAGGTCTGGAGGTGTTTGGCCAGCTTTTCTTAGGAAATGCTAGAGTAGAAACAGACTCTCCTCTTTTTGAATTGCAGGCACAACCAAATATCAGTATGTTTTTTGTGATCACACTGCAAAACTAATGATGTTTTAAGTCAATGGAGAGTTTTCTTTTTCATGTCGTAGAAACAATGGATTTATACAGACTTTGCCTCAAGGATAATCATTTCAAAACTTTTAAAGGTCTGCCTAGTAGACACTGGAGGTAGAAGCTAGGTGTTGGGGAAGATTTCAAGACCAACTGGGGCAGTCTGTACAAGTTCCCATTCCAAAAAAAAGAGTCTGGGGTTTATAAGGGAAAGTTCTGCACACAAGTCAAAAATGACTTTTTAGCTACTACTCAACCAGGAACTGCTAACAGGTACGATTTTGCCTATTCATAGCCCACACTGCTACCATGAATTAGAGGGGGGGTTTACAAAGCTTAACATAGCCAATTTCGGCACTCATATGTCTCTTATTTATGTTTTCCAGTTTTAAATACTTTTCTTATTTGCTAACTAACTGCACCGGATTCTTTTTTATGTTAAATGCACCACTAATTCAACATCTCCTGCATTTTTCAAATTTTTCAAAAATATTTGCAAAATAACCATATCGGGTTATTTTGTTCTCCAACTTCAACCATTTTCCTCAATGGATAGGTATGTTGTATTTTAATAATTCTAGTTACATAATTAAAGGGAAACACTTTCTGCTTTGCACTTCAAAAACTGATAAAATGTAAATTTGTCTTTGTGTGTCCATATAAATATCTGCTGTGTTGTTTATAAGTTCAGTACTTAACTGCCTTTATGGTTTTGATAATAAACCTACTTATTTTGATTATGAGTCAACAATCATTATATAATTAAGCTTGTGTTGTTAAGTTTGTTTATTTATCATTGTATTGTAAAATTAAAAATTAAAATTTAGAAACTAATGTTTAAAAATGTGAACATGAGCAGTCATCTGTCTGTGCCAGCATTAATTTGGAACTTGCAAGAGTTAAGGTACAGCAACAATGTCTCTTCAGCAGAGAAAGAACGAAAGGTTGTCAAGAATATGGTAAAATGTTAAAGGGGAAAACACCCAAACCCAATGAACTAATACAATAACCCCATATCATGTAAGGTTTTTGCTAAGTTGTTTTATTTTGGAAAAATGTAACCTAAAATGTTGCAGAAACACAACTAGACACTTAAATTATTTTCTAAATGTGTTAATATAATGTTGCCCATCTGTTTTATACACATACTGTAATTTTCTATGTAAATTTCATATTTAAGCATGTGCTCTTAAAATAAGCCAAATCCTTCTGTAACTTATGTTATGTAAGTGGCAAATGCATCACCCCTTAGGGTAGAAACTATGTTTGAACCCTGGTGGAAGTCAAATTTAGTTTGAAATGAGATGGAAGCAAAAAAGAAAGCAAAAAAGGCAGTTAATAGACAATATAAAAGAAAAATAGAAAAGTCAAAATTGCGTAAGTATTGAAACATTTGACTTTGGCAAGTTAAATTAATTTAGCTGCAAAAATGACCCAAATTAGCCACACAAATTAGGTGAGTGGCCACTTTCTGTGTGCAAATATAGCGGATCACATGATTTCAGAATAAAGACACCATTCCCTGTAAGGTTCCTCAGGCAGGTAGTGAAATTCCGAGGAGTTCTCAAAGCAATTCCGGAAAAGATTTAAGTCTTTGACACATTATTTACATCTTCTGGACAATGAGGGGAAGCAAATGAAAAGGCAGACAAAATGCTATGATATATAGTTCAAAGCATAAAATTGAAATCAAGGGATTTCATTTTAAAGTTGTATAATGTCTAAGGCTTCATTTAGAATATCCTGTTCTTTTTTGGTCACCACACTAAAGAAAAGATATACTGTAGTACTGGTGTACTGGAATCACTCCAAAGAAGACCACTAGATACTGTACATTCTGGGGCTTCAGACCATTTCCAAGACTGACAGGCTGAAGGAACTGAACCTTTTTCATTCTGAGGAGAGAAGAAAAGGAGTAGACCTGATACAAGTATTCATAATCCTCAAAGACACTGACAAAGCCAACCAACTGGATTTCTTCACAACACAGAAACACAAACCAAGTCATGAGTAGAAATTCAAATTTTAAACCGAGAACAAGAGGTGTTTCCATACACAAAAGTTTGTGGGACAGCCTGCCATCATGTTGTGAAAGGCTAATTTCAGGATAGGGCTTTATGAAAGCCTTGGATCAATTAACTACTATACTAACTATGGAAGGGCTAGATGAGTAAACTGGCTTTCAGTCATTTGTAACCATTCTTATGTCATAAAGAAAACAATTAGGAGTTTTGTTTTCTTTTTCACATTAACACACTGGATATACTGTAATACTGTTCAGTATCAAAACGGTATTTATTAGTATGTTATCAGAATATTTAAACACGGAGGTTATTATATATTTGAATTAAGACACAGAATCCTACAAGACAGAATTTCACTGTTTCTGTTACTTTTCCTGGTGTACACTGCAAAAAAAAAAACAATCCTTGTCCCTGACCTCTGAAACTGCAAAATATTGTTTATATTTTAAGAACTCTAATGCATACGGATATTTACTATACATATATCTTATTATTCTAATAAATTATCTTCTTATATTTTGCATAAATTAAAAAAAGAAATTCTAAACAAAAACTTTTAGAACATAGCTTTTTTTCCTCAGACAACCACTCAGGCGACTTCATTATAGGAAAAGGGCGGCGTGTATACTTTCGTTTCTTTGACATCAAAGGTCACTATACAGGCTTCCACACAGTAAGCATCCCCTTAAATATATAGCATTGTCCCATTTTACTCTTAAATGATATGTATAGGTCACTGCTGCCTTCAACATTACTTTCACTCCAACTTGCACGTACAGTACTTCGTTGCCTTCTTTCTCTGAAGTTCAAACACAAACAGTATAAGAAACTGAAAAGGCGTAGAGTTTTCATATCATTCATGAAACAAATACAATGAGGGGGTTCAAGATGAGCACCGACATCTGCCTAATCAACGCCTTTCATAAACACAGCTTTCTCTTCGGTATCTTCTAACATGTCAAGACTAACGCTATATACCTTCTAAGACAATGAAGTGGCGGTGTTATAGAATCGGTAAACCTAGCGCATGTTTGCTGTTTCAGTATAGTGCACAAGCCTAAATCCCGAATGAAGCATTGTCGTTTGATTAAGCTACTATTAAAAGTGCGATGTGTTTTTTAACAGTATTTAAAATAAACATATTTGCAAATTTCATAGACATTTCAAGAAATAAGCGCGATGCAGGTGGTAATGTACGAATGTCAACCCAGTAGTGCGCTTCAAGCGTAAATGTCTTAATTGGAACGTCCCTTTCCCAACATATAAAAAGTCTGGAAAATGTACATTCACGTATATATCGGTTTCACGTAATAGGTATTAAATAAGTTAACTTTATTATTAAAATGTAAGCAATGCAAAGTAATACATATATGCAACTAATTACTTATAACGTTAAAATTCACAACATCACTGATGTTATAACTTGTAATTAGTAAAACACCTTTTTTTCTGAGACAAGAACAGAAAACTTACCGTTCTCTTCCACAGTTCAAACATTCCCTGAGTTAAGACGTTTGTTTTAAATTGTGTGCTTCAGAAGAGCATAGCAGATCCACTCATGAAAATCCAGCCTCAGACCTATTGGCTCTTGTAGCTACGTGCCTTTCTCTTCTCGGTAATACTACTGTACTTCTAAATGCCAGGGATTTAATAGCGGCGCAGCGCGTCAAACCCATCGACTTTTTTGCACTCCATCTGAACGGGTCCAGATTTAAATACGCTCCAGTCACATGTGCTTACTTCACTGTAAAGGAACACACTTCCTATAATTTCTGCCTGAAGTAAAATGATTGGGCAAGCCAAGAAGCATATTATCTGTTGGGGACAGGGCTGCTGATGAGGACGATTAGGACAGGACTTAAGAAAGCGGTTTTGAGAAATTACGTGGCGCGATAATTTCTTACAGTGTAATACAATTATTAAAATGACGATACTTTTAAACACTGTATACATTCTGTAATTAATATTACCAAAATGATGATACATTGCTTAATTAAAGCAAACACAACGAATATTTTATATGTAAACAAAAAGAACATTATTATTGCATTTGAAAGATATAAGAATTGTGTAAACGTTTAACATTCTCTAAGAATTAGGATTATCAATTAATAAATGACAGTTAAAATGAAAATGTTATTTATGAAAATCGTTATTTTATAATGGAAGCTGATTTAGTATCAGGGAGTTTTATTAGAATCAGATCAAGAGAAAAAAAGGGAACCACAACAAAACCTCAACATTATTTTCTTTACCATTATAACCATTGTATGGTCTGGTATTATCAGGAAACAAACTTTTCTGGACTGTCTTGCAACAAACAATACTACTAGTTTAAATATTTAATCAAATCTTCTCTGAGCAGAAAGGTTGTATTCAATTTACTCCTAAGGTTTTCTTGTGCTAAAAGAGGTTCCACCTCACACTGTTATTCTTCCAAGGCCTCACTCGTTAAGCAATTTAGTGTAACACTGACTGTAACAAGTATGAGCAATCTCCAAGAAGCTGAGAGAGGTTGAACAAATCTGCCAAAAATGGGCAAAAATTGCACCAAGCCAGTGTGCAAACTTGGTAGAGACTTCCCAAAAATACATTTCCAGTTGTAAGTGCTGTTAAACATGTTTCCACCTAATATTGAGTTCCAAGGTCTGAATACTTCAGCAATTAACACCTTTCATTTTTACTTTTTACTTTTTACTGACATTTACAGTAATATATCTTACTCTTGAAAGCCTTCAATTATGGCAAACAGATTTTTAAGTAAAATATTAAGTTTAAAAAATGTATATGCATTTGTATGCATATATATGCAACAGGACACCATAAGTTTTGAATACCTTGAAAGGCACTGTACTGTTATGGTATTTAGTTACCAATGCCTTCAGCAGTAGACAACCTGAAGAAGGCTCCACGGCGGAAAAGTGTTTTCTTTCTTCTTTTTTTCAGCATGGAATAAACCTATTACTTGTTCCTTTGCAGCCTACGCATACTGACGCAGCTACCCACCTGAACGTCTACTAGTCAGCCTTTGACAGCCTGCAGTGGCATTATTATGTATGAATTGCCATGTGTGAAAGCATGCCACTGTACAGTGCTCAATATCAGTGTCAGAATCACTGGAGGAATACTGCAAGAACACATTTTGTTATGAATTCTTAAAGTTGACCTGGATGCATGTTGTCTTACTGAATAATTTCATTTATGCAGCATTGGATAATGGATGTTGACATGTCATTTCTATTTTGTTCAAAAAGAATTAAGTCTTGGTTAATTTGTTAATGTGTTGTTTCACAAAGTCTCAGGATCTCCAAATACTGTTTGTAACATTGTATACTTTATTGTTCAGGTGGGTAGCTGCATCAGCATGCGTAGGCTGCAAAGGAACAAATAATAGGTTTATTCCATGTTAAAAAAAAGAAGAAAGAAAACACAATGTTTTGGCCGTGGGGCCTTCTTCAGGTGTGAAAGAGACAAGGCAGTAGGCAAAGGTAATGTAGCGGGAGAACAAAGGCTGGGAGGGAGGAGGAGTGAGAGGCGGGAGTAGGGGACAGAAAGAGAGGCCAATCAGAAGTTGTGAAGTCAGAATAGGTGTAGAGAGGTGTGAAATGAAACTTCCTATAATAATAATAATAATAATTGCTTACACTTATATAGCGCTTTTCTGGACACTCCACACTCCACTCAAAGCACTTTACAGGTAATGGGGACTCCCCTCCACCACCACCAATGTGCAGCATCCACCTGGATGATGCGACGGCAGCCATAGTGCACCAGAACGCTCACCACACATCAGCGATCAGTGGGGAGGAGAGCAGAGTAATGTAGCCAATTCATAGAAGGGGATTATTAGGAGGCCATGATTGGTAAGGGCCAATTGGAAATTTGGCCAGGATGCCGGGGTTACACCCCTACTCTTTTCGAGAAGCACCCTGGGATTTTTAATGACCACAGAGAGTCAGGACCTCGGTTTTACGTCTCATCCGAAGGACGGCGCCTGTTTACAGTATAGTGTCCCCATCACTATACTGGGGCATTAGGACCCACATGGACCACAGGGTGAGCACCCCCTGCTGGCCCCACTAACACCTCTTCCAGCAGCAACCTTAGTTTTTCCCAGGAGGTCTCCCATCCAGGTACTGACCAGGCTCACACCTGCTTAGCTTCAGTGGGTTGCCAGTTGTGAGTTGCAGGGTGATATGGCTGCTGACTATGAATGGAGAAAATATTAAAGAAGAGTAGTCTGTCATTAAGAGAAGGGGAAAGGTGTGATCCTAGCTGCAGGATAGGTTTGGTTTCGGTGGTCTTTCTGATGTATGAGTTTCGGAAAAACGTTTTTGAGAACACAGACGGAGAGATTAGAGTGGTCATGGCTGTCAGAGGTGAAATGAGAAACAATGGGCTTGGAGAGATCTTTAATCTTCACAGCCCTGACATGTTCTCTGAAGCGGTCTCCGAGTCTCCTTCCTGTTTCTCCAATGTAGATGCTGGGCATTTACTGCAAGAGATACAGTAAATAAGGTTGTTGGAGGTACAAGATGCCATCTGGGTGATGCAGAATTGTCCTGAGGGGCCAAAATGAGTTGGGTGTTGGATGTATACTTGCAGGTTGATGAAAAAGGAGTACATTTTGAGGGCTTGGTTCTTGAAGTCAATGTCGTCGCTGCATAATCTTCGTAGCCGAAGGAACTGTGAAAAAGGGAGAGAGTTTTTAGTATGTTTGGGGTGAAATGAGCTATACAGGAGATAGCTGTGTGAATCCGTGGGTTTGTAATAAACCGAAGTGGAGAGTCAGGGGTAGCTGATGGAAAAATTGATGTCTAGAAACGGAAGAGTAGTGGAAGATATGTTAACCGTATATTTGAGGGACGGGTGGAAGTTGGTGAAATGGTGCAGGAAGCACTTAAGCTGATCGTTGGAGCATGTGGCGGCACCGACGCGGTCATCAATATATCGCTTGTAGAGGTCAGGGACATAGCCAGTGTAGGAAGCGAAGATGCGTTCTTCTACCCAACCAACAAAAATATTGGCATAGCTGGGTCCCATTCTGGTGCCCATGGCAACTCCACTCACCTGTTGGTAAAAAATATTTTACAATACAATTGTACAATAAAGTTGTTTACTTTATGAAAAGCAATTCTATGTGAAAACAGTTTTATGCAGGATCAGAATTAAATAAATTCCCTGTGGCATCTGCAGTAGCAAGCAAAAAATTAAAACAATGACAGGATCATACTATACAAGACTCTTTGAAATTAAACTGATATCTCATGGAATGACTGATGATCTTCAACATCTTTCTAAGGTATGATAATTTAGTGCAGGAACTTCCCTTCCCTCACAAAATGCTTTTTTTTCACAGGGGTGCTGTGTCTGATTTTGCTGTAGTTATTCCCTCTGGTGTGGCTGAAATGGTGGTAAAATTAGGTGTTTATTCACTTTAAATTAGTCTCTAAAATATGAGAAGCTCTTAAACATATCTCATCAAATACAGAATAAATAGCATTCATATATTAGATGAATTAATTTAAAAGACATATCAGACCATTTGACTCTCTCAGCTTTTAAAGGGCATAATGGGTTAGGAGTTATTGTTTTTCAAGTCCTATCTTCGTGTTTTTATTTATGACAACTTATAGTTTGAAAAAATGTAAAAAAAAATGAAGTCAATATTTCACTCATAAACGCATTAATTCAGTTTGAGGATTCACGTTTTGATTAAAAATATTCATTTTAAAAACTGTATGAAGAATTTGTAATTCAGTAAAATGGGATTCAATTGGAAGGGGTGAATGTAACGGGTATAAGCCTGGGGGTACAACTGTATACAAAATGTGTGGTGACTCATAAAGTTAATATTTTATGTGATAATTGGCAAGTGTCATGGTGTGTTGTCTTTTTCTCACTTCTCTTTTGTCTTTTTTATGTCCTGTTCCAGGTCTTGTGCAATACTCTATGCATCAGCCCACACTGTAATGTCTTAAGAAGATGAAGACTGAGGGTTTCTTTGACCTCTGAAAATCTGGAGGTGCGTTTATTTCCTTTTTCTTTTTTGGTTTTCTTTTCCCTGGGACAAACTACATTTCCTTAAGGATCTTCAGTTGAATAGCAATAGGATCTAAGAGGAAGAAATCTTTAGCTTGACAGGTTTGGGCTTTGTTGGGGTAAGCCTGTGTTAAGGTTAATGATTATTTCCTGTCCACTTTCCTCTTTGCATGTTACTCGTTGTGTAATTGTCATGCCCTCTGCAGCCAGAGGGCGCTCCTTCTCTGTCCTGTCCCTAGTTTCCAGTCTGCTGTCCTTCCTGTCCCT